TCTCTGAGGAAGTACTCGGGTAGCCTAACAATCTGGAAATGAGAAACCGCCTCGAACGCATCGCCATCGACAAGGGCACGGGACACGCTTGCGCGACGCAACATGTTAGTAGAGAAGAAAGTGTGGCATATCTTCGCGGAAGGGAGCCGTCATAATTAGCCAACGTCTACATCGCAAGCACTCCAACATCGATAGGAACATATTTTCATCATACCCCGGAGGTCTACAAGCCAACGCTTTCACACCGAAGCCAGAGCTAGCCAAACGCGCGAAAACGGTCCAAGCAGCATGCTTCTACACCGCGCTTCTGGGCCAACAAGGGAACCATGTTCGTCGCGAAATGATATTTGCTGAAAGGGTTGCTCGTCAATGCTGCTCTCAGCGGGCTCGGAGTTGCCGCGGAGGGTTCGGAGCCGCTCACCGGCGGCGACCTCTCCGAGCTCGAGGTTTTCATCGCGCGCAAAGGCCGCGCTATGTTGGGGCGCGCAGCCGCGTGGCAGGATCAGGCCTCTCATATTGTCCATCGCCCTGCCCACGACATCCTCAAAAAGTTCAGAGTCGGGCCCTCGGACTTTGAGCTCAGAACACGGAGGCTGGAATGGCATCAAAACATGATTCTGGAGCGAGAACACTCGGCAAGTCCTGCCTACCTGTTTCGGCGCGTCTCGCGCCGAGCTCTTCTCATTGGGAGCAGAGCTACACGCGTTCATGCCCATCTTTGGGCACGTCAGTTTGAACCAGATTTGCCAGCACTCGAAGAAACTGAAAACCGAGTCTGGATGCGGAAGATTACGGGGGCCAAGTGCACTTGATATTCTTCTACGACCCCGTCGATTATGTCAGTTTTGATTGCGACGGGTTGCGAGCGAAGCACCTGACCGATAAACCGGTTGCCCCCAGCTTACCCGAGCCCCTTGACGGAGATGAAAGAGGAGCGTTCGTATGCAAGGAGAAGTTGAAGGGGGGGCACATGCAGTAGCAGATGGCGCACTCAGCACGCGCGCGCCAGGCGCATCGCCAACGCCGTCGGGGGCGCGCGCGGCAAGCCCAACATCGGAATAATGTTTACGATCACGAATATTGTGCGTTGTGCAGCAGTGCGTTTTGAGATGAGTTCGTTACCGAACATCAAGTCCCTGCGAGTTGTTACGGAGACAGTACCGCCCAGCGCATCGAGGGCGATGCGAAACGGAGGAGGGCTCGATGTCCTGCCCCAACTGTCCGGAATAATTTCCCGACGCGGCACCATCTGCAGCCGCTACTGCAGCCCCTCGAACATGCCAGGCATCATATGCAGTCACCACTTCAGCCACTACTGCCTGCCACTCACATGCCAGGCTTCATCCGCAGCCACCAGTGAGCACCGACTTCCACATCACATTTGCCTCCGCGTGTGCGAGGCACGCACGCCCAGGTCGTTGCTAAGACTTCCCAGAGAAGCAGTTGGCCGAAGTTGTCTCAAGAAGATTCGGCGCCGAGGCTGCAGGGACCGAGTCATGCCAGAGGGAGAGGGAGCACCGAAAAATTGACTAGCGCGCGACATACCCTTCAGCTTCGCGGCCGCAGCGGGGCAGCGCAAGAAGGCGACGAGGGCGGCGGGGGCGGAGGAGGAGGACGAGGAGACGCAGGGCGAGAACCTGTTCGGGATGATGAGCATTGATCGTCCGGCTTGAAGCCCTGGCTCGTTTCCTCGAGCACGAGTCAATGTCGATTGCATTGCTCGATCGCAAGCATCCGCTGGTCGTTCATTGCAAGTAGTCGCAGCAAGAGTTCGAACAAAGATACAAAGCCAACCCCATCACGGACCTCGGCTCGTCATCAACCCAAGCCAGTTGCGAAGTAGAGGGTCGAACGCAATAAACGGGTTCGATTCCCCTCACAGGATCACGAACACGTTTTTCCAGCGGATCGAACAGAATGGGCGAGAGCGAGCGAGTTTCTCCTCTTCCGAATCAACATCATCATCACCGTTATCATCATCAGCCTCATCATCATCCGCATCGTCATGATCAGCATCATCAACATCACCATCATCATCATCATCAGTGGCATCATCATCGCCATCAGCATCGCCATCCGCATCGTTACCACCATCATCACCATCATCAACATCATCAACATCATCATCGTCATCATTACCACTGTCATCATCAGCAGCATCTTCACCATCATCATCATTGCTATCGGCTTCTTTTCGGGGATGTTCGGCCTCGGCGAGCGAGGACATGCGACGACCCTGTCGCCGCGACACACCTATCCAACGCGCGTCCAGGCCCCCCTCCGCCCCGGGGGCATCCGGGCACACCCGTTTTGCCGCCCGCGGCCCCGCTCTCGGGGGGAAGGTGCGGGCGTTCGGGGCAGCCACCCCGAGTGACGGCGGCGGCGGCGGCTCCTGAGATCCTGGCGTCTCAATTTGAGGGCGGTCTCGTCGGATCCTGGCGTTCCAATTTCGAGGTCCGAGGTTTCGAGGTTTGCGGGCATTCTCGTCGGATCCCGGCGGTTGTCCAGCCTCGGGGTGTTTTCCAGCAGCTGCACCTGGTCCAGGGCGTTCGGGAGTGCCCAGATCGTCCCGATCAGCCGCTGGAGGCTCGAGCGGTGACCCGAAAACAGGGTCAAGCCAGGCGTGTTTGCCCGGCTTCGGGCCCAGGGACCCTCACGGGTCGGTCCAGCTCGAAGAGTGGCGCAGAAATGTGGGGTTTGGGGCTGTGGTCGTGATTCATTTGCTTATACGCCACACCGCCGACCCCTTGGGGCGGCAGCAATCGTCCCCCGCGTGGCCTGTCTGGACAGCCTGTGAGGCCCCTCTAGACACGTTTTGGAGCCCTCCTAGGACCTTCCTGCCGTTCCCCCGGGCCGTTGCTATGCTTACTGGGGCCTTCGCGGGGCGCCCGGAGGCCGTCGTGGAGCCTCTTGGAGAGTTTCTTGGGGCTCTGGTCGTGCTTTCTCGCGGCGTCGAGATGTTGGTCCCGCTTCGTCGGCGGCGACTTCGGGGCGGCGGCGGCGGCGGCGGCGGCCACGTCGGGAGGCGGCGGCTTCGACGGCGGCGCCCCGCGCCCTACGTCGGTCACCACCCACCAAACCACCCCAACCCAACCCGAAGCCCTCAAGATGCCTTCCATTTCCAGTGGGGGGGGGGTCGGGGAACGTTGAAACAGCACATGGTATCCGTACCCCCCCCCAACCCGAAATTCGGGTCAAATTCGGGTCTTCGGGTTGGGTTGGGGTGGTCTGGTAGGCAGTCAGTCGGCGGCGGCGGCGACGGCCGCGGTGCCCCGGGCGGGCCGCGGCTTCCTCCCGGCAGCGGGGCCGCGGGCCCCCGTCGCCGACGCGCCGCTGCCGGGCCGAGGCGCGCCGCCGCTCGCCGCGGCGCCGCCGCTCGCCGCGCCGCCGCCGCGGGCGCGCCGCCGCCGCGGGCGCGCCGCCGCCGCTGGTGTCAAGTCAGGCCTGTCCCTCTACTCGGGGGCAGTACTTTTTGGGGAAAATCCCCCTTTTGTACTTTTCAGCCGTAGTTTTCGTCGAGAATCTCCCCCTTGTCGAGGGGGGCACGCCCGACCAAACGCCGGGGCCTCGGGGCCCAGACGCCCTGCCCCCCGCAGTGCCCGGCCGCGGAAGCGCGCGCTTCCAGCCTCCCGCTAAGTCGGGCGTGTCCCCCTACAGTCGGGGGCGGAAAAGAAGGGGGTGATGACTGGGGGGGGGGGGAATCATGGCGGGGGCCATGATATTTCCCCAGGTTTCCTGGCGCCTCGTCTTGTTTCATTACGTCCCTGGCCACCCCGCTGGGCCGCGCACATGCCGCCGGTCATGATTTGCACCCCCCCTCTTGGACACCCCCCTCTTTGCCGCTCCCGATCTACGGGAGGAATATGTAAAGATAGTCCAAAAATAGTCTGGGGGCGATGTCTTGACCAGTTTTGCCTAATTGGGGGGCGCTTTTCGAATATGTTTTGTTTTTCGCCCAAAATCCCCCTGTAGGGGGACACGCCCGACTCAACGCTGGTGGCCGCCGGCCGTCGTTGACGCCGCCGGTCGTCGTTGACGCCGCCGCTGTCGCCGCCGCTCGCCGCCGCGCACTGAGACAGTAGCGTCTCGATTTCTCTGGAGCCGGGCGCTTTCGGCTTCTGTTCGGGCCCCGCGGGACCCTCCCAGATCGGTCCGGCTCGAAAAATGGCGCAGACAGATGGGGCCTGGGGCTCCGAGCCTGATTTTCTACAATGCTACAGTTCTTCCCCTACGTCAGATCTCAGGGGCCGCCGTCGTCAAGGAAGGAGGGCCGATGACATCGACCCCTGCGCACCGCCGCCGCTCGCTCCGCGACGACGACGTCGCCGGACGACGACGTATTACGCCCTCAGATCTTGAAGCAGTGGCGAGGCGTCCTGGCTGGCCTATAGGCCCACCAAATAATGTATTTTAAGAACCTCTTGTGGTCAGCACGCAATGTTCTTAGAACATGTTTGGCTGAAACTGTACTGCTTTAACGCATCGGGCTTACGTCCGAATGGCGTTGTTTGTATATATTATAAGAACCTCTCTGGGCTCTAAGAGCATTTGGTGATATACCTATAGGAATGCAAGGACGGTCGGCCCCTGCTCAAGATATCCGACGGCATGATGTTGTCAATTTGGGCGTCTTCTCTCGATATCGGCCTCCAGGGTTCGTGATTGGGCCTGGGGGCCATCAGAAAAGGCCATGGGGCGAAAAATTTGCCCTGGGGGAGGGGTCGGGATCTCCCCGGGGCCGCGCAGTGGAAAAATCATGTCATCGGATATCTGGGGAGGATGGGGGGGAAGAGGAGGAGGGTTCGCGGGCCCAAGAACCTGCCGGAAGCATATGATTGCGGAGGTCCTCGCGGATTCCGTGGGTCGGCGTTGAACCCCCTTGGCCGCGTTTCCAGCGCCGCCTCGGGCGCGCATGCGCCATGGGAAGGAGGTCCAGCGCCAGTCAAAAACATCCGCGCGGACTTCCAAAATTTGTCTTCCAAATAGGCTTGCCCTGTAAGAGTTCTAACTCAAACCCTAGTAATTGGTCCGTTGCCCCCCCCTTTCTTAATTCCCATGCCCATCCAAATAAATTCTATGGCACCCCCCTCCCCCCCTTTATTTCCAATGGCACCCCCCAGCTATTTCCAATGGCGAGTCCTATGGATTCCTCTGGATTCCTATGAGTCGCTTGCCCTTGCTTGCTCTTGCGTGCTCTTGCTTGCTTGCTCTTGCGTGCTTGCTATCGCTTGCTTGCTCTTGTTTGCCCGTGCTTGCTTGCACTTGATCGCTGGCTCTTGCTTGCTTGTGATTGCTCGCTTGCGCTTGCTTGCTTCCGCTTACTTGCTTGTGCTTGCTTGATGTTGCTCCTCCCGTCTTGCTCCCGTCCTCCTTTCGTCCTCCCATCCCCATCTCGTCCTCTTGCTGTCCTCCTATCTATCTGGAGTCAACGCTGGCTGATATTATGTTCATGTGGTGCCTCCTCTTCAAGAAAGCGAAAGATGAGGTGACCATTTCAACAAAGGCTTGCACACGGTACCGACGAAGTCACCAGTCGTCTCGGTGAGGGAGAGTTGCGAGGCGGCCTGTCCAGAGTTCAGTGAACCTGCGTTGTCGGGTGCTGCACCAGGGGGTTACCTGATGCGAGCGTGAGAAGAGGGATGAGATGGAGGAGGAGGGCCGAGGAGGACGAGGAGGAGAACAAGGAGTGGAGGGACGAGGAGGACGAGGACGAGGGACGAGATGGGGACCTCCTGGGCGGGCCCCCCCGACACGACTGGACTGGACTGGAATCGCCTTGCAATCCTGCTCAGAACTCGCTCCAGGACGGATCTGGGCGCCGGTTCTGCGAGGGGGCACGTGTAACGGTTCCATCCCGACGCGTTGGCCCCAGGCCCCCGACGCCATGATTTTTGTTGCACGCGGGCCCCCAGAGGTCTGGAGATGTTGCCCGGGACGGGCGTTCCATTCTGCGCCGTTGTTTGACGGTCCCAAGGCCCGGCGAGGGCCCCTGCAGGCCAAATTTACTCCAGATTTTGTAATAAAGGGAGGGGGGTCTTATTTCGGGGGGGGTCTCTTCCAGGCTATCTTGGAGAGCCTGCGGGGTCTGGAGACGATGTTTTGGAGGGTTCTCCCACGGGGGAGGTCTGAAATGGCCTGTCTTGGAGGGTCCAGACCCCCTCCCTTTTAATACGAAATCTGGAGTACCCAGGGAAAGGGCCCGACCGTATGACGTTGTGAGTGTTGCCGTTGTGGGTATCACCTGTGGTGGAGCTCTTATCTGGGGCCGCGAAGCGTGTGAAGAGTGGACCGGCATGGGGCGGGGACGCAGGCGGGCGCAGCCACCGCCATTGGGACCGTCGGTGGAGCTCTCTATGGGGCCGCGAAGCGCTGCACTGGGCGAGAGAAACGCATGCGACCACTATCACTGGGACCTTCGGTGGAGCTCCCTATGGGGCCACGAAGCGCTCCGAGTGGGGGGAAACGCATGCGAACACCGCCACTGGGGCCTTCGGTGGAGCTCCCTGTGGGGCCACGAAACGCTGTACTGGGTGGTGGAAACGCATGCGAACACCGCCACTGGGGCCTCTTTTTTTAAGGTGTGGCCAAGCTCGCGCGACGCGAGCTCAGGTTCGGAAGGCTGTCGAGGGCAGCTGTCGGCGGCAGGCGACAGCCTCGGGCAGCCGAGCAGCAAAGGAAACGAGCTGGCCAAAAGGGCCAGCCCGCTGCTGCCAAGCCAGACCCCTCAGCCTGCCTCCGCCGTCGGGCGCGCCCCCTTCGGTGGCAGCCCTTGTCTGATATTCGCGACCTTCTCGAGGCGGTGCTGCAGGCGTCGAGCGGTCTCGGGCAATTTGCACTCGGCAGACAAGCCCCTATGCTTGCCGCCAAGCACGCGGGCATAGCAGTGACAGCGCGTGCACACGCGATACCCACTGACAGTGCACAGCACGTGCTCGCCGCCGTCAACCCCAGGTACCCCTGTGCCAGCAGTCGCAGAGGCCGAGGCAGCGAGGGGCCCCGAGGGTGGAGGCGGCTCAGCGGTGGCACAAGACTCTGGGTCGGCCTCGGCGCCAAGCGGGTCCGCCCCCGAGCTACCACCAGCTCCGCCAGTGGACACAGTCGGGCCGCTGCCGCGCCGTGCGCTGGCCGCGGGCGCTGCAGACGGCGCGGGAGCAGGCTCAAAGGTGGGCGAGGCGGCACTCGATGGGCAAGCGCCGACGCCAACGGAGAGTGCCCCGTCAGCTCGGTCGGCCTCACTCGCGGTACCACTCGCGCAGGAGCCAGTCGCAGCAGCTAGCAGGAAATCGACCTTTCCCTGAAACGCCAGGCGAACCTTGGCCCTGGGCTCGCCGCTGCATGCAATGGGGCCGCGGGCTTCTCTCACAGGGCTGCGGGTCCGAGAACGGCGCTCCCTTGGGGGCGGCGGTGCGTCCTGCACGCCTGCCTCGCTGGCCGCCAGCGCTGCAAAAAGCTGCGGCTGCTGTGGCCGCTGTCGCCAGTGCCGCTCGAGCAGGCCTCTTCCTCACAGAGCCGCCTGAGTGAAGGGGCGCGCACGGCTTAGCCGCGCACGGCTTGGCCCAGAAGTGGGAAATGATGTTGGCGCTGTAGGCGGTCCTCAAGCAGCGCAGGCAGCGCATGCCTCCGTTGGGGACCTCGACGACCTCGTGGCCCGCGAGGTGGAGGAGGATCTTGCCTTCCCGCTTGGCCGCTACCTCATCGGCAACATCTGCAAGGGCATCAGCCGCCTGGCCCCCAGCAGTCGCGACCCAGAAGAACGCGGCATCAAGCATGGTCTGCCTCGCACGGATCACCTGCCTGATCTCGTCGGTGGCCCCCGTGTTGTTGGCGATGAACTTGGCGCACCGATCAGCTTCAATGTTGCCTCGCCTCGCCCTGGCTGTGACCAGCCCTTCCTGGAGGCGTGGGCCTTGACCTTCACAGCCCGCAGGCCGCCGTCGCCGAGCCCTCCGAAGTCCTGAATCGCGTGCCATACTCGGACCCAAATCTCGGCCCATGCTGACATGCTACTCGCGGTGACCTTTGGCCCGCGGGCGTTGACCCCGCCCGCCACAAATGCTGCGTCAAAATGAGCCGCCACTGGTGGCAGACTGAACCTGAGGAGCAGGAGGGGCGCCAGCAACTCGCTCCCGTCGGTGGACTGCAGTGGCCCCGCCAGTGGCGAGGCGAGGGCTCGCGTGGCTGACCCTGGCCCTGGGCCCACGCTGTCGCCACTTGGTGGAAGGGCCACCACTGCACAACCAGCACAGGCGATCTGGGTTCCCCCGTCGATGAAGGCGCCGTCGGCGTACAAGTCGGGAACAGCAAACGGCGCGCCCTCCTCGTAGCCCTTGATCCACTGCGCATGTG